CATTTTTGTTTCGTTATGGCTTCTTCGGTCTTTGTTATAGATTTAAATGTAATTTTGGAATTATACGGCCTTTTGGATAAACCCTTTTATAAGTATAAGTAACATATCAAAGTGACCTAACACTTTGACTCATGAATAAATAAATTTCATATCAAGAAAATAAAAAAGTACAACAACAAAGATTCAAATAAATTCTTGCTAGTTTTTTTATAGTTTTCTGTGTGATTTTCTATCATTAAGAAATTTCCGGCGTTTTGTGACAAACATGAAAATAAGATTGTCATTGTCTATCAAATGATTGTATTTCAAGCTTAGTCTAAACATATTTATTTCCCGAATATTTACATGATATACATAATACAATACAATCAGAATACAAATATATAATGAATTCAAATAAAAGGATGAGAACGAAAGACTAAGTCTTATAAAATTCTTCTCCCTTTAGTGTAACTTTATAATAAGTCGATTTATAATATTTTGTACAATTATCAAAAAAGTGGAATGTAAATATTTGTGACGAAGTTAACGTTATATTTATAAGTAATCATCGGGATAAGAATTAGAAATTATAATAACGAAAAAATAAGAAAGGAAAACAAATAATACAATAGGAAGAAAAAAGAAAGAAAGAGGAAAGAAAGATTGCTTCACTGTTTCACTTTAAGTTCAGAGAAATCGCTTTCATTCTGAGATAAAAGTATGAACATGTTTAAAGATATTGGCATTATCAGTATCTGAGATGTCCGGGTTGCCAAAAAGTAGGGTGTTGGGGGTAATATCGAAATTATTTAGATTTCCCAATAATTTTTCTCTACATGAACGAAAGCGATGGCATTCAAAGAAGTAATGAAAGTTAGTTTCCATTTGACCACACTCACATAATGGCGATGGTGATATATTTTTAAGAAACAAATGATAATTTAGGGAGCTACATTTTGTGCGTAACCTGGTGTGAAGAATTTGAAGTTTTCTATCACCAAAATAAAAGTATTTTGGTGTAGTTTTTTATCACGTGATAGATAATTTTTAAACATTGAAAGGGTTGGTAGATTCCTTATGTTAAGGGGCAAGTTGTTCCATTCACGAATTGAAGATGGGAAAAAAGAACTAAAGTATAAAGATGTCCTTGCTGAAATACCAATAGTGTCGTTTGAATTTCTAAGGTTATAACGAGTGTTTGTTTGATACGGTATCGGTTCTGACAAGTATTCTGGTGCAATGCCTTGTTTGATTTGATAGAATAATGTTAATCTATGTTTATAACGTCTTTGTTCTAATGTTTCCCAATTTACTTCATTATTTAAGTTTTCAATTAAAACTAGTCTTGTTGCACCAGACACTCTTCTAGCACATTCATTTTGTATTTTATCTAAGAGGTCAAGTTCATACTGAAATGCGTTTCCCCATACCACATCCACATATTCAAGGATTGGTCAGATAAACGATATATAAATAATTTCAAGAGATTTACGAACTAACATGAATTTCAGTTTTCTCATTATGTTCACCCGTTTCCATGCTTTTTCATTAATATACTCTATATGTGAATGCCAAAGGCAATTGTGAGACAAAAATAATCCTAAGTGTTTATGATCTTTTACTTCAGGTATAGTTCGATTAAGCATTTGAAGTGGTTGGTGATATGAATTTCTTTTTCTAGAGACAATAAGGGATTCTGATTTAGACGGATTGAAAGTGACAAGCCATTTTTCTGCCCATGCAGCTATTATTTTAATTTCTGATTGTAATTGTTGTGCTGCAGTTTGTGGGTTTTCAATAACAAGAAAGAGACTGGTATCATCAGCAAAAAGATTAACATTGGATTGAAGATCTTGGACTATGTCATTTATGTAGATGAGAAAAAGTAAAGGACCAAGGATCGAACCTTGTTGAAAACACACTGACGTCTGCAGCTTAATTAATCCTGAAACCATTCAAATATTTTTCCAGATACACCATAATATTTTAATTTACAGGGAATGCCTTTGTGCCAGACTTTATCGAATGCCTTGCTTATGTCGAAGAATATAACTCGAGCTTCGAGACCGTCATCAAGTGCTTAGCAAAGTATGTCATAAATATAAACAAGTTGATTTACAGTTGAATCCCCGGGTATAAACCCAGATTGCACAGGCGTAAGAATTCTATTCGCGTTCAAATGATTAAATAAATGCTTAAAGATCAGTCGTTCAAAAACTTTTTCCATAGTGTTGAGCAGTGAAATTGGTCTATAATTAGAAGGGAGAGATGCATCACCTTTTTTAAAGATAGCAGTAACATGGGCTTCCTTCCAAGAAGCTGGTACTTTACAGCAAGATAGAGACTGATTAAACAGATTAGTTAAAGGAATAGAGAGTTCTTTTGCGGCTTCACGCAAATTTTATTACTAATACCATCTGGTCCAGATGCTTTGTCGACTTTAAGAGATTTAAGAATATCTTCAGTTTCAGATGCAGTTAGATCGTTAATAACAGTGGACGTTGTTTGTGGACCTAGTTCATGAACATTTGAGTCAGAATTATCGATATAGGTTTGATGTAAGAAATACTCGTTCAATAGGTTTGCCTTTTGGTCTTCAGAGAATACAATTTCCTGGGTGTTTTGATTTTGTAATGGGGGAATTGACGTTGTCTGTGTAGGTGAGATAAAAGATTTTAATATTTTCCACCAGTGTTTTGAAGATAACGATTCCTGTTTTAGTTTGTCCGATAATTTAGAGTAATAAATAGCTTTCGCCTCTTTAATCTGAGATACTATTTGATTTCTTAATTGTTTAAATTTCACCCAGTGCATATTGGATTGAGTAAATTTGGCTTTTCTGTACAATCGTTTACGTCTACGAATAATTGACCTGATAGTATTTGTTATCAATTGGGCATCTAGAGGTCTAACATATATATCCTTATTTGGTATATTATATTTAGAGATTATTAAAATTTGATTTGAAACGTTGTCTGCTTATTTACTGATATTGAAATCGAAACATTCTTCCCATTGGAAACTGTTAAAATCATTTCGAAGCTTGACGTAATCACCACGATTGTATTCCCATATAGTGCGTTGAAAGCATTGTTGTTTTGGTTTACGGAATTTAAAAAGACAAGAAACTGGAACATGGTAACACTGTTCTTGGTCAAGGATGTGTTCGCCTACTCCAGATTTGATAATAGTATTTTTATTTGAAACAAAAATGAGATCGATCAATGACTGACTCGATTCTGTGAAGTGAGTTGATTCTTCAATTATTTGTTCCATATTGAATTGTTGACAAATTGAAAGAATTTTTCTATTTGTGTTAGTATTAAATGCGTCATAGTTAAAATCGCCTGTAACAATGATATCATTAATATCCGTGTCAACAGCTAATGAGATAGCTTCAGAGCAATATCAGAATACATTCTGTCAAGACCTTTTCGATCCTTTTCCATTATATCATATAAAAAATCTTTTGAAGAACCAGTGATGAATAAAATCTTATAAATATTCATGAATAAACGAAATGCATGTGGATAAGATTCGCAATAAACGAAAGTATGATAATTTTGATAAAACAAATTTATTCTTATAATTAGAAAAACAAAAGACCTTTTTTATAAATAAATTGATTTGTATATATAAGCGCCACTGGGCCGTTACATGTTGAATTAACAGGGTGCATATGTTGAATTCACAAGCGACATTTGGCTGTGATATCATAAATCACCAGTATGCATATTTTACAGTTATAACATTTCATCAGATTACTTCACTTTTGTTAGGTGTCGTAAGTTTTATGATCCCGGCATCCGTATTTGGTTATTGATCATCCTTGGGACTTTATTGGTCATGCCTGACTGATTTGATACTCCAGAATGAATACCAACTAGCACAGTTAACAATACGTAAAATCATAATTAAGTTTAAAACGAATATTTGTGTACGTGTTTCACACTTGTTTTTTGTGATTATAAAAAGATAAGCAGAATATGAATACAATAAAAAATTCAAGTGAAAAATATCACTTTATCAGCTTTAATATAATATGTATTGCATTCCTTTAGCGTAATGTACGATTTTTTGAGATTGCCTTTTTGCCAACACAAATATTATACAGTCATGTACATTCAATTTTTTTCTTCATTTATGCTTTTACATTTTTAATCGTAAAACGATATACAGGAGGGTTAAAATGAACAGAAGCGAAAAATTGAGTTCGAATAAATGATAAGTCATTTTTGTTTCGTTATGGCTTCTTCGGTCTTTGTTAATGATTTAAATGTAATTTGGAATTATACGGCCTTTTGGATAAACCCTTTTATCAGTATAAGTAACATTTTAAAGTGAAAATATCTTAGAATAACTATCATTAATTAAATACCCTGTCATTTAAGCGATAAGCGTCGAGGAAGAGGTACTTCCCTTACCGGATGTGACGTAAATGGGGGTTTGTACTGTCAAAAAAAAATTGCGTAGAATGATAGCTTATTGAAAGTTAAATGATAAATACTGATCGTTTAATAAGGATTATAACCTAACACTTTGACTCATGAATAAATAAATTTCATATCAAGAAAAGAAAAAAAAAAGTACAAAAACAAAGCTTAAAATAAATTCTTGCTAGTTTTGCTTTTTCTAGTTTTCTGTGTGATTTTCTATCATTAAGAAAATTCCGTGATTTGTGACAAACATGAAAATAAGATTGACATTGCCTATCAAATGATTGTATTTCAAGCTTAAGAATAATAGCAAAATACATTCTGTCAAGACCTTTTTGATCCTTTTCCATTATATCATATAAAAAATTTTTGAAGAACCAGTGATGAATATAATCTTATTAATATTCATGAATAAACGAAATGCATGTGGATAAGATTCGCAATAAATGAAAGTATGATAATTTTGATATAACAAATAAATTCTTATAATTAGAAAAACAAAAGACCTTTTTTATAAATAAATAGATTTGTATATATTAGCGCCACTGGGCCGTTACATGTTGAATTAACAGGGTGCATATAAAATTTTTTTGAAGAACCAGTGATGAATATAATCTTATTAATATTCATGAATAAACGAAATGCATGTGGATAAGATTCGCAATAAATGAAAGTATGATAATTTTGATATAACAAATAAATTCTTATAATTAGAAAAACAAAAGACTTCTTTTATAAATAAATAGATTTGTATATATAAGCACCACTGGGCCGTTACATGTTGAAGAAAATTTAGTAATATAATATTGTTAAAACGTCCAGGCTAAACGATTAATAGCTATTTATACTCGTATTTCCTAACAACACTTTCTTTCATAGTTTTGACGATGTTTTAAAAATAAATGTACAGGCCTATTTTGGAAATACTATCAGTTTTGTTTAAGATACAAACGATCCATATTATTATAGTTTCAGATATTATCGGAATACCGCTAATATATAAGAATAATTATTGCTGACGATATAACGTAAATTTGCAACGAAAACGGTGTATATGAAATAAACTAATAATAAGGAACGCTTGAAAAAGTCTACCTTTTTTCAAATATCATATTTTCTTTTAAATTAAGTTTATGTCTAATTGATCACAAAATTTTTCTTTTCGAATCATAAATTTTTCATGTTAACATAACATTATTCCTTTTTATTTCAAAAAACACCTTTTAGCATTTTCTCTACTGCACTAAGTCGTGTTGGTCGTATTTTACAATGCCTTTTGTAAAGCTTCTGTATGAAGTATGGACAGTCTAAAGACTTCGCATCTGTAGTTGCATCTATATGACGAATCTGCATGAGCTCAAAAGCAAGTCTACAAATCTAAAAAAAGTTTAAAACAAATAATTTTAGCCAAAATAATGCCAATTTAAGATCTATTCTAATTTTTTAACATTACAGTAATGTAACACAATTATATAGGTTAAATAATCTTGATAAAGTACACTTACATCTGCAGAAACACAAAGATGCATTGAAGCCCATGCCCGCCGTAGTAGAAATTCAATAAGTTAGAGGGCTTGTGCGGGTTTGTGTGCACGACACGATAAATAAAATGTTTGTGTAACGTTTTTTGTGCTAGTTCGATATTTCTAATTTTGTTTTCAACTTAACAACCTGAACCATTATTCTAGTAAGCTTTATTACATTGTTCCCTTAGTCACTAATAAAAAAACGTGTCAAAAAGACATGTGCTTGATCTATTTCACCCTTAGTTCCAAGTATTTTAAAACGTAATTAGAAAGTCATCACCTAAATTCAATTGGTTATTTGTAAAAAAAAAAACGTTTTTCCTAGACTGATTCTTTTATAATTATGTTAAAAAAATTGATGTCATCACTTTGCCAATTCAACTCTTTTTTTTTTCGATTATAAAAAAAAATTCTGTTAAAGTGTTTAGATAATATTGAATTTAAATCTATTTTGTGATTAAATTCGGTGCCAAAAATAATTTATACTTTTACGAAAATGTACGGATGCTTCAATCGTTGAATAAATACTAATGTTTTTATAATGAGATAAAAAGGACTTACATTTGATGTCATAGTACAGACAATATAGTCACACATTGATAGCAAAAATGTGTCTAGTATAATGCCTACTAATGATGAATATTGATATCTCGTCCCGCGTTTACTAGCAGCAACAGTTACATCTATATCATTTATAATGGTATGGTCAGAAAACCTTGAAAAGATAAAGCATAAATATATGATAGTATGTTCGTCGATGAAAAACTATCCACATATCACTTTTTGTATTCATTCAACATATTAAATGTGTATTGAATTATTAATACAATGAGATATGCAGCAAAAAGAAGTTATATCATAAGAATTTGTCTCTTCAAGTGAATTCATAATGATTCAATATTTCACTGGCTGTCAATGGATATTCTATCCCATGATTATGTGTTCATATGTCATTTACTTAAGTCGTTAGTCAGGTTTGATGTTCTAAAAATTTACGATTGTATAAAAGTTATGTAGAAGAAATTTCTGTCCAATTAAGACAAGCTTAAAGGAATTTAATGTGAACGCAGTAAATAAAATTACAAACTTTTGTCTGGCCTCCTTAACTACTCCTGGATCGTCAGTTGCAATGAATATTGTGCGCTTTTTACCAGTTGTCCCAGTTTTGTTTTCATAATTATCAAACCAATTATCTGCAGCCTTCATATATTCTGTTAGATTATAGTAGTTAGCTTCAGAGAGTTTATCTGTCCTTCGAATTTGAAGTCTATGAATAACATATATAAAGAAATAGATTAAAACAACTTAAATATAAAATAATAGATAAAAAAAGGCTGAGAAATATCGAATTGTAAAACTTTGAATACTTAATATGAATAATATATGTAGCGCTTAATTTAATGATGGGCTTCGATTGAACACAACTATCTTTTTTAATTTAAGATTTGTCAGGCTACAAACAAAACATATCTAGTAATCAATCATCAAACAGTAATCTCAATATATTAACCTACGGTTAAAATGAATAAATACAGAATCCCTAAAGAAAGCCCAAGACGGCAAAATTGAAAATGTTGCAGGCTCGGTTTGATTGAGCCTGTTCATGGACGGTACTGGAAAGTGCAAGTTACCGTCCACGCCCCTTAGCACCGGCTTAAGCAGAATTCAACATTTAAACGTGAAATAGTAAAATTTTGAATTTAGAAACATCCTCAGATGTGTTCATACGGCGGTTATCATGGAACCTTCAATGTGACACTTCCGTGCCATTCCATGAAAAGCGGCGTATGGTCCCCAAGTAATAAAAAGCGTGTGCCCTAAACGAGAAAACAATGGACGGAACTAAATAAAATGGAAGTTTTGAAAGGGGATCAGAGGTTATGAAGCCTGCGTATCACAGACAAGACGTCAAAAGACAAATTTAAAAAGCAGGCAACATATCCTAAGGGTGATTAAACATTATTCAAGTAGGAATATTGGAACACCCAACTAGAAAATGCCGAAAAGTTGAAAACTAGAAATACCCACAAGCACAATAATAAAGTCGTGCTAAACGATCTTAAGTTTCGTTTTATTTAGCAATTTCTTACCTATATATATATATATATATATATATATATATATATATATATATATATATATATATATATATATAATTCCCAGTTATTCCTAGGCTCATATCAATAAAAAAACTTCCTAGGATAAACACTTTGATGTTTTTTGTTTACATGTTAGGCACTTTATAGCGGCCAATTTAACTATGGAAGTAAATTAAACACAGCCACGGTTGAAGCAAAATAAATTAAACTAACAATTATCTACAATTTTAATTCGACTAGAAATTAAGACAACACTTGAATTATCTGATGATATCATAACACCAGTTTTAATGTTTGTACCAGGTGTATTTATTTTATGAACTCTAAGATGTGGAAAAAAACATTTTCTTTGTAACTATATGTTAGAAATAAAAAGATTATTCTGGCAAATAAATGACAACATATTAATATGATCTTATGTACTCAAGTCGCTGTTAAAATGACATTTTATTAAAGTCGCAGCAAGACTTTATATTGTGCCTCTGAAGCATATGAGGTATTTATATAACATAATCACCGAGTATTTTTAAAACAAATCATGAGACCAGGAAAAATTATGTAAATAATCTATAATCATTCTAAAAATATAGATGGAGATCCGCACATCCTGACTTTGATAATTGAGATATTATCAATAATATAACACTCAAGGAATCGTTTAGTTAACTCTTTTAAGGGTATTTGTTTTATCTTTGTCTACCTCAAATCCTAATAAACATTTAACAAATAGACTCTGATTATTATTTACACCCGAAACAAAGAACTCCGATCATTATTTACACACGTCATTTATTACCTATCTATATACAGTATCTTTTCACGTACACGTATTTTATACGAAACAATTCTCAACACCAGATGAGCTCAACCTCTTTACAATTATTATCAAAAAAAAAATAGTTAAATCGACACAAAATGAATTATTTTACAAATCTAAGATACAATAAATAGGACAACCATCCAACAAAATATATAAATTTTTCAAAATCAATTCAGCATCGGAAAGCAATTCAAACCAAAAACAACCAATATTAACAGATATCTTCAAAACCAAAGAATCGCATATGTTTGTTTGTTTGATTAATAAGGTTTTATGTCATACCGACACAGTATAGGTCAATTCAATTCAATATTTAATCGGCAAATGCATATAAACGTTCATTGCCAATATAACATAGATGCAATGGCGGTACAAATACAAAGAGAAAAGCATGAATTCGTATTAATTAAATCAGTCGAATTCTTACAATAACAAAACAAAGAGATACTATATATGATTTATAACATACATAAAATAAATCCATATTACACAGTCATATCATGCCTGATAGTTTTTGCGCCAAAGATTAGCATTGTAACGTATTTTGCAAGTTTATTAACAGCATTACTTTGTTGACAATTTAAAAGAGATTTGAATTTAAACTAATTTGGCCAATGACAATAAAAATGAGATAAAATATTAAGTCTTATCTGTCTGTAAAAAACACATACTAAGAGGAAATGATACTGATTTTCTATACTATTCATATTTCATTTCGTGCATAATCTTAGACTTCTATTAATGTTTCTATATCTCCCTTCTTCTATAGCTAAATTATGAGCAGAACACCGGAATCTAGGCAAAGCAATTCTATAGCTATCATATTTTACACAACTTAATTACATTTTTCTAATTCAAAACTGGATTTAAATAAACACTAAGTATCAAGTTTAGGAGATTCTTTGAGCTCTGAATATTATTTTTGTAGATATTGGTCATAAATAGTTCTTATTACTGTTTGAATTTGTAAGTTAGTGATTTCTGTATTAGCCCATAAATTAGAGTATCCTTAATTATATAATAATTGTTTAACACTTACAGACCAATCGTTTACTAATATTCCATGGTCATCACGCATAATAAATCTTTTAAAAACTAAAGAATTCGGGTTTTCATAATTCTGGACCAATATCTTTCTATCTGATTTTACCACATATAATCATCGGAACTCGTCCAAATTCACCGTAAATAGCAGAACTGGCAGTCTGTTGACGAACCTTTAAAACGTTTTTTTTTTTTAATTTTTTAAATGATTTTTTTTCTATATCGGATGCCTTATGTTAACCCCAAATTTTACATCCATAATTCAGAATCGAAGTGATCATGGAATCAAATAACTTAATTTTGTTTTTAATGTTTAGTGATACAGTTTCAAATAGTGAAGTAAGCGAAAACTGAGCTTTCATAGCTTGTCCAGACAATGACTTTTGTGCCTGAAAAAAAAAACTTCCATTTGCAGACAGAATAACACGTAAATAAGTAAATTTAGTAACAATTTTTAGTCAATGATTATCATAAAGTATATCAATATTTCCAGGTCTATTACCTTTCTTACATATCATCACTACGGTTTTATCAATATTAACACTGATACCCCAATTGCAACAATAAGAATGTAAATTATTTAGAAGGTTTTGTAACCCTTCTTTGGAACAAGATATTGACCTTGTATCATCCGCAAAAAAGTAAAAAGAGATGTAATTCTTCCATAGTGAACGAGTCAATAGAGTCGTCATATAAATATTGATACATATCATTTAAAAAGAATAAAAACAACAGAGGGGATAATGGTTCGCCCTGTTTTATGCCCTTAAAGCTCTCAAAATTATCACTTAGCTGTCCATTTACACGTACACAAGATTTAACACTTATATTTTCTGTAACATATTGACAAACTTTGTGAAGGCTCCATAAGATAATAGTTTAAACCAGATTCCGTTTCTGTAAACTACATTAAAGGCTTTTCTGAAATCGACAAATGCTAAATATAGCTTCTTTTCATCATGCAAGATGACTTTATCTGTGATTGAAGTTAAAACAAAAATACAGTCAATGGTACTTTTATCTTTTCGAATCTTGATTGAAAATCACTTTACATATTATTGTCCTCGGCCCATTTTCGGAGTCTTAAATCTAATAAAGTTGAAAAGATTTTTGAAAAAAATAATACTTAATGTTATTCCTCTATAATTATTGACATTATTCAGGTTACTTTTTACAATAACACCTTTAGTCCAACTATCTGGGTAAATACAATGAGTGCACATAAAACTAAATAGTTTGCATAATAACGGTGTAATAATATCTTAACACTCAACAAACATCTCGGGGATTAAACAATCTATTTCACCGCTTTTACCACTCTTAAACATATTTAGAGCTTTCAATACTTTATCAAGGCTAAACAAAATATCAAATTGTTCAACATTGATATTAACACCACTGTTAAATAAATTTTCAGCGTCATCATTTATAAATTCCTTGTCATCAGAAAAAAACATTTTTGAAATGATTGTAAAATTCGTCTTTACAAATACTATTCCCTTTTGGCGTGTTTGATTTTAATTTTTTATTTTCTTTCCCAAACTTTTGGGGCTGAGTAGAAGCCAAAGTATGTAAGTGTTGCCTTAAATGTAGCACGAGCCTTGCGCTTAGCCAATCGATATTTACGACGCTTTTCAATGAGCAGTGCACCGTTACAATTTGTTCTATTTTTTATAATGCTTATTTACTGAGCGAAGCTTACGTCTAGCCGTTTCACATTCCCTTCAATGTACCCAAGGACTCTTAAACTTACGGTTATTTGACCTAAACACATTAAACGACCTTCCAAAAACGCTATAGGCTTTTTCATAAAGAATTTGATGAAAATTTATCCACACTCGTATTAATATTGGTATCATCTGAAATTATGCTATTTTACAATTGACTCAAAATTTGTATATTCATTTTCTATCAAAGAGTTTATATTCATAGCTTCTATCACCATTCCAAATAAATTTATCAATATTTATTTTGTTTACTCATTCAATGTTTGTCACTGTTTAAAACCCTAGGGTTTAACTGTTTTAGGTAAATTAAAAGGGTAAAATAAACCCCTGTACATTTTAAAAAACCCCCATTGTGGGAAAAAAACTTTCGACATAAAATATTGGGTTTTTTTCCCGATGGCGACATAAAAGTTTTAAAATACCCAACCGCCCTCATCCCCAATACGGCCCTTTAAATTTTTAAAATCGCTGCTTAACAAATATCTTTAAAAACTTCTTTCCCCGAGAATTAAACATTTTTTCCATTTGAAAAAATATAAGGAATATCATTTATGTAAATTCAAATTTATTTTTCCCTCTAAAGATGAAATTTTACTAATTCATAATTTTTCAGTACATTCTAAAATATTTAGGGCCTCTAAAAACCCTCTAGCCCTTAAAGGGCGCCAATTTTCTGGGCCTTTTACCCTATTCACTATATTTACGAATATAATGTTCAAGTGACTCAAAAAAACCCATTTCATGTGACATGAAATACACAAAATTGCTAGAAGGGACATATAAAAAACTTATATATAAATCATACTCAAAACCAAAACATGTTTTATCGAGTTTGACCCATATAAAACCAGTGTTATCACATTCTACAATTGAAATACCGTTATTCAATCGCTTTTTAAATAGTAGGCAAATTCCAAAGTGTACGCGTTTAGATTTAATACTTTCAGGTCTGGGAACATAAACAGAATCATATCCTTTCAAAGAAAAAACTTCAACATTATTTTGCCATGTTTCACTTAAAAAAATTATATCAAAAATTTTGACCAAGTCTAAAAAATCTTCATCATCTACGCAAGAATTTAATCCTCCCACATTCCATGATACTATTTTCAAATTGTCATAATTTTCTCTGTCCCCCTATTTAGAACCATATAATTCATTATCAATATAAAATTTATCCCTGACAAGAACCGCGCGTTTCCCTGTTTCCCAGCATCACTCATCACTGGTATAAGCTGTTTCCGGCGGTCTCTCACTTCCGGTGGATACTGATCTGCTACATTGTAATCTGTATGCTGTAATTTAACATGTTTAAGTGACTCTTGAATCAAAGATTTTGATTTTGAATCAAATTTTGCAACGATAGGCCTAGTTTTGCCTGATAAAAATTTCCCCACTCTCTGTGCACGCATTATGTTAATCTTAGATCGAAAATCGTTAATGCGCAGGATTTTGTCACAGAAAGTGAATACCTTATCAACACAATTTTCATGATCACTTTTTACGACAGAAGAAAACAAGGCTGGTGCACTAATAGCAGGTTCATGGAAATCATCACAAGTCGAGGTTGTAGAAGTCTGGTTAGTAGAAGTGTTGTCCGTGAACCCCGTAGAATCCATCACGGTTGATTGACCACCGCCAAGAGGAGCGGGATTGAACGTAGTACCTTCAGCAACTCCGAAGGACAAAAGATTATCTCGCATCGAGCGACATTTCAATACAATAATATTTTTGTTACCTGAATTGTTTGCCGACTTTAATATTTCATTCTCAGCAGTCAGAAATTTGATATCACTACGTAATTGAGAAATATCGCCTTTATTTCCGACAGAACGTGCCGTTACACTATCATACTGTTCGCTTATAAAAGTGTGACTACGTTCAATCTCGTTGAACTTTAAATCAATGCTGCTTAAGCGTTCCGTTATGTTTTGACAGTTGATTGAATTTTATTCAATTGGTCAAGTTTAGCGTCCATACTGTCCAAACGTTATATAATCCCCTGTAAAATGTCCGTATTTGAATTGTTTACATTTTGCTGAGCTAATATAGGTGATGTTTGATTTGTTACAAAAGGGGAAGGTGGATGATACAGAGGCGTCAGCATAAAAGACTGACCGATACCATATTGACCAACCTGTGCTGGAGAAGCTGCTTGTTGAAGATTTTGAGACTGAACGTTTTGTTGAGTGTTTTCCGCCATCATTCTCTTTGATTCTTTGTTATCGTTCAACGGAGAAATATTGTCCTTTTTACGTTTTCTTGTCATTAGAAAACCAATATAATCCGTGTTATATATGAAACAGATGAATTAAGATGCCAGTAATGTATTTATTCATTTTAGAAACATTTATATATCCATATATATATGTTATTATCACCAATTTTTCTAACTATTGAAATCATTTGAAAAAATACGTCCGCCATTTTCAAGCATGCGCACTAAGATCATAACATAGGCCATATGGCGACGTTCAAGCTTTACTGATGGATGAAGACCTCAGAGGCCCTTCCGTGCATTATTTCTGGCACGAACAGGAACCTGAGAAGAATAGCCGACATTCCGTAAGCTAGCTGGATTGCTTCCTCACATGAAAGAATCATAAAACATGAACCAACACATAAAACTGTGATTAATCTGACAACACCAATTCAAGAAAGCATTCCATTTATTTAAAACAATATGAATAATCTAAAATGTTTCTTGTACAGGTATCAATCCTTCTAAGGTAATTTGCACACTCGTTGTCCTATCCCTTCACAACTATAAATCTAAACATAAAATTATGTAGAAACAAAATGCCAATATCATTATGCAGCCACTTTCAACTAAACACTTCTGAATGTATGTTAAAAAGCATGGTCCGTTTGTAGTTTAAAGTAGAACACCCCTAATTGCCACTATAAGGAACTGTAAAATTGACAACATAGGACAGTAATATGCCTGTATGCAAAATTTAAACAAAATTTACCGTGTGGTTTATAGGCTATGGACATTTTTCTTAACTCAAACTTTGCCATTGGAAGGGCATTTTTAAGAAATTTGGAATCGCTAAATAATAAACAAAATCATCATTATGAAAAAATGTTTTCCTATAGCTCATTGTTAAGAAACAAATTATTGCATTTAGAAAACAAATTAAACAAGTAAAATGATATTGTTTTTAAACGAAATGTTTAAAATATATATAAAAATGTAACCCTACCCTACATACTTTTAACACTTATTTGACCGTTTCCCTTTGTAAAAAGCCTTATTTACAATATTCCTAAACTTTTCCCTAATAAGGGGCATTTTTCAAAGTCTTAAATGTATATGTGTTGGTCTTGCAAAATATGATAAACTTTTAACGTGTTGTTTTTATTTTATTAAACTTTGAAAATATCTGGTATAATATTTGCTATTAAATTTGGTATTATTTAGTAAAAAAATACCTACAATAATTATATAATTAAAATGAAACATTTTTTTCTTTCATAAGGGATCTGAGAGATTAATATAAAATGTAAAAGGAAAGAAAGAAAGAAAAAAAAGTTTCCCCTTCCGGGGTTTGAACCCACGCCCCTCAGACTCAATACATTTTACAGTGTTTCTAGCCTATTTGAATACTCTTCAAAGTAGAGATAGTGCATTAGGGGTGTGCTACCTTATATTCTTTCCATACAAATATATGTTGTATTATTTTCATTCCAAAAATTCTCTTTCAGTAACCGAGAAGTTTTTTCTCTTATCAACAAACTCTAACTCGTGTAAGCTATTTGAAGCAGACCATTATCAAACTGTTGAAGAAGTGCTTTTATTTTGGTCAATTTTTCTACAATTATTGGGCAAAAATAATTCCTCTCGGAATGCTTTACTTTCGATGCTATTCAATATAGAAAAAATTGTAAATGTAATATTTTGATCAGTTCCAGCACTTATTGTGAAGTCATCATAGTCATATTCATTTTGGAAATGTCATGTAGATGTGGAGTATACAGCAATGTAGGTGGTATATTTCATTAATTTATAATTAGAAGTAATGGCATATAATGTTCAATTTTAACACATATTTACCCAACAATTACGTCTGTGAATCCAAGTGTTTTTTTCTTTTCAGCAATATATTGTCTTAAACGTTCAGATGGTCTTAGTATATACGAAGCTATTTGTCCAGCCCACCAAAGCTGAGGGTCTGAGTGAAAACGTCTTATGGTTTTACTGATATCATCAGGAATTGCTCGTTCAAGATCAAAATAGAATGTGTCGTAAACAGCTTTGATTACTTTAATACTTTCTGTTCTATACAGACCTATGATTAAGATGTTGAAAAATATAATTACGATTAACATTATTATTTGATTTAACATATCAATTTAATGTATTTGTTTCAATAAGACACAACTTTAGCATTCATGTTAGTATGCAATTCTACTAAATATCCATCGCATCTAAAATGCAATCGTTCAAATTTAGCAACGTTATTTATTTTATCAACATTGAAGTATCTCTTTTACCTACAAATGATGACAAGTAACATACTAACATCAACAATTATTTGATTATGTCAGATCATACTACTAAGTAAATATAGTTTTGTCAACCATAATTATACTGAAGCTTAATTTTTCTAGATAAGTCAAGCTAATAAGTTGACAAGTTTAATGATTTGATTTGATTTTGATACATGCGAGGATTACCTGGATTTCTTACCAGTATACCTCTAGTTAGATGGGAAACACTGAAAATGTTTCTGAAAAATCCCAAGGGTGTTACCCAGGATCGAACCCGGAACCTCAGGAGTGACAGTCAGTGGGCTAACCAACTGAGCTATCGCACCAATCAAATGAAGAAGTTATTGGACGCTCGATGAAGAACTTCATGTTATATCCTTTATTTTTTTACATGAATAATTTTCTCTTAAAGAAAACCAATTAATGTAAAACCGGATAAATCGATAAATAATGCACATATATTTTTGATTTGTCATTCTTTTACAAGAGAAAATGTTCGTAAATGTGCACTTGAAATACAAAAATTAAGTATGTATAAACTTAAAACATTACTGAAAACTTCATGAGCATTTTCATTCAAAATCGTTGTACAGTTTAAACTGAGAGGAAGAAATAGGTCATTCCAGCCTGACTGATTGTACTTTGATTCGTTTGTCTGAAGTATAACTGTCCTGTTTGCCATGAATCCAATTGTAAAACAGATTGTTAAAAGATGAACCTGACTGCCAAAACCAGCTTGAAAATAAAATGTGTATTGTTATGGTTTCTGTTAGACTCATCCTGATTCAGGATATACAATATCTTATATTTTTAGTCAAAATGCGAAAATTTAATGCAAAATTAGGCAACTTTAACCAACATTTAGTATTTTCTACCTTAAATTAAACTTATAAAGAATACTTGGATGTGTTTTTGGAAGAGTGACTTCAAACCACTTGCCCCCTGCTTCTGCGCTTTCAAATACCAACAGGGACTTATAAGGTTTTCATATGATGAATCTATCTAGCTAGCTAACGAAATGTCGGTAGTATTACTCATGTGTACGTTCGTGACTAAAAACAATGCACTGAAAGGCTCATGAGGTCTTCCTCTACAATTGAATCTGGAACGTCGCCAGATGACCTTTACTGTATCAGTGTGGCTTAAACCAGATCAAACAAACAAACAAAATATATACGTACACATAAAATAATAAATTAAAATAATTATAAATCAATATTTTTGTCAAATATTTATAGAGGATATTTGTTCGTTTTTGTGTAAGATGAATATCCCGTGAACATTAAAAACAGTATTCTCACTCGTTGTTACGCCACTTGTGAGATGAAATAACATATTACACAACAACACACAAATGTTCCTTTTTTTTCATGCTTATATGCCATTTTAAATGGACCTTTCTAAATATTTACTTGAATATCCAAATCTGTTTTCCCCACTGGTAACCCTCAATTTCAGACAAATTCTCATAACTACATGAAATTGTGAACTTAAAAATGAATTGATAAATCAACGTTAAAAAGTGATTATATTATTAATATTTTATTAAAAACTATGAATGATCGCTTGTTTTAATAAAAGGAAAACAATTTTAGAAGAAGAAAATGCCAAAGCAAATAGCCCTAATTTCCGCTATGTAAGGCGGAGGTTTATATAAAACAAGGCTTGTTATAAAAGGGATTCCTTTTGAATTGGATAGTCAACATCTTTTTATGAAAAAAGAAGACTCAGGATTGTTACATACTATAATAAATAGGAATTGACATATGTTTAAACATTTTAAATGCGACTAGGAATTAAGAAAACATTGACTTGTTGAAAGGCTGTCTTACGATTTTTTCCCTTGTTCTTTGGACTGGTAACTGTCATTGCTTTTCATGTTGAATAAGCCAGTTATTGCCCGTAGGATACTTTAATTTGCTCAACAAAAGCAATTTTGCATGTGGAGGAGAATGTACAAGAGAAAGAAAGATTTGGATACGATGTTTATTATGGTAATTTGTAATAAAAATGAGTTGAAGTATAAATTTTCTTTTTAATACTTTTAAATCTTTAAGTTATTTATCAGCTTTAGCTTTGCTTTTCTCTAAACTGTCCTGACAAGGTCAGCATTTTAAGCAATTACAAAATTGAGGTACCACATGGGGAAAATCTTTAATAGTAGTCTCGTCTTTGAAAAGTATGATTCTTTTTTTGATAATTTTAACTGTGAAATTACCAAATAAAATTTTCACGGCTAAATCAGTAATTAATTTAAAAGCATAAAATAAAAGTATTTTAATGATTAAACCAAATAATTCTTACTTGGCGGAAGATTGCAAACAACCTTTTTCGACAAATTGCAATTTAGCGGATTCTGCAAAAAAAAAATTCAATAGTTTAAATTAGAAAAGACTTACTTTAAAAAATTAGCAATTTCTTGCTTGTTTTATTTTTTGCTTGAAGCTTTTTTACAATGTTTTTTGCATTTCTTATAATTTTGAATTTGTTCAAATTGATCGTTATGATAAGATAATTGATAAGATATGTCGCCTGATGATAGCCAATTTAGAAGTTGCATTCGGATGATTTCGGATGATTTATCAGTCTCTTCCCTGTCATAACGCATTGGTAGCAGAGCACGCGAAAATCATGAACATTCATAAGCGCTTTTAATGCAAGGATTATAACTGAGCAAAGAAAATCAAGTCAAAATCCAAAACATTATACGCAAGTTATTCAAATATTTATCAATCCTGATACTGTAAATAAAATTTATCACCGCAATGTGTACTGCTTACAGCTGCTATGGATTAAAAATAATTGAACTAAGTAAAACCACAAAATTGATGACGTAGAAATATACAAAAATGGACCCAATGATCATAACAAAAGTACTCAATATCTTTCTCAATAAAGAAAGAGGAACAGTAAAATCATCTACAAGGGTCAGATGAGTCAGGACACGAAAATTCAAACAAAACAGTCATCAAAATAAATATTTCTCGGGAGTTTAAACCGGTAAATGGTACACCAAACCACACTCTTAGCCCCAATCATGTTCCTATAAATGAAACATTGAAAAGAAAACAAAAGAAGATCATCTACAAGGGCCCGACAAAGCAATGCAGAAGACAAACATTATGGCAATTCTGTTCCGAAGGGCTTTAAGAACTGTCCATCATAGTCTCCCACTTGGTTAGACAGATGTTATCAAAAGTGGAAAGCGAAGCTTTCAACTGAAAATAGGTTGACCACTAAGCATGTAGTATGTTTTATACAGAAGTGTAATGAGCTCTTTAAAAATTAAAAAAGTACTTTAAGTGAAGACAGCAGATCAATTACCATAACTACAATCGTAAGGAAGTTTGTACTTCACATTTCCATTAATATTCTTGCTTGCTTATCCCTTTTCGCAGATGTGTTTTTTTTAAATCACTATTGAATTTTAGATTTAATATAAATTAAGCTAATAAATTTTTGTCAGATATTTCCGTCATTTACGATAGCGGTAGATTTGTTTTAGGATCTTGCTAGTAGTGCAATTATTACGGTCGTTGAAATCTTTTAAAATACTAAATATATTGCAGGCTTGCATTGTTTAAGCGTGTAATTGTCTGTACTGGTAATTACAATTAACCATCAACGCCCCTTAACTCCCCCATCGACAACCAGGAAGGCGTGTGGAGCATCCAACACGACTGTGTAAAGTGTAGTTTTGAATGAGGATACGATACATTTGAAGATATAAAAACCTTCAGGAAATATTGTACAAAAAGAACAAAAAATAAAAGCTTTATTTGTCACGCAGCAAAAAACATCTTGTTATGGTAAATTCTCTTTATATTGGGAGGGTTAACATTTGGATTACTGTTACCGGCGTGTCCTTGTGCGTTATCTAGTAAAAGCAACAGAAGAAAGTGTTGTTGACCAAACACTTTGAAAAATGAAACATTCAGACTGACCAGTACTGTGTGCTCTAGTTGATCTCGACGTTTCATTCTGGTTGTCTTATTCAAATTACTACTTCAAAACTGTCATATGCAAAAGTTCGTTGATTTATTTATTCCCTGGCGTAAAATAACTTTTACAGATATTTATAACATAATTTTTATTTCCCTATCCTTGGTAGTATGGAAGATAAAGGTTATCCTATTTAATTCCTTCAGTCAAATCCCGCACTAACGTGTCACATTAAAGGTTCCATGATAGCCGCCATATGAACACATTTACGGAAATTTCAAATTCTGCTTAAGCCGGTGCTAGGGGGCGTGGGCGGTAGTTTGCACTTTAAATGTTACCTTGTTGGGCTTTCTTTAGGGATTCTTATTTTCTCTTCCTTTTTTAGCCAAATCATCATTCTTGTGCCGTGTGTCGGCTGTACAAACTCGCTCCGTACATTCAATCAGAGATGTTATATTTCCGATCTTTTAAGATCGCTCAGCGCGTTGTTATTGTTGTGCTTGTGGTAATTTAGTTATTTCTATTCGGCTATTTTATTGTTGGGTCGTTTAAGTCTTCATCACTTAAATACTGTTGTATCACCGTTAGGATATGTGGCCTGCTTTTTAAATTTGTCTTTTGACGTCTTATCTGTGATATACAGGCTTCATAACCTCTGATCCCCTTTCAAAAATCCATTTTATTTAGTTTCGACCATCGTTTTCTCGTTAAAGACACACGCATTTTTTGCCTGGGGACCATATGCTGCTTTTCATGTAATGGCACTTATGTGTCACATTGAAGGTTACATGATAACCACAATGGACACATCTGTGGATGTTTCAAAATTCAAAATTGTTCCACTGCATATTAAATGTTGAATTCTGCATAACCCGGTGCTACCGGGCGTGAGCGGTAGTTTGCACTTGACAGTACTGTCAATGTACAGGCTCAATCGAATCGAGCTTGCATCATTTTCAATTTTGCCTTGTTGGGCTTACTTGAGAGATTCTTATTTTCCCTAATTCATCCCAAATTTCCTTTCCTTATTTAGCTGCTAAAAAATACACTATAAAATTTACTTCTGCTTCAATTTCGTAAAATAGTTATCCGTTTTAACAACATTTATATGATTTGAACTGTTAAATGTTTACAATCAAGTCAATATGCATCTGTGTTATGCATAAGTCATTATGACCCTCGCATGATCGCGAGAAAGAGAATTCGTGCGAATTTGCATAATAGCAAGATGCTTTGTCAAAAAAGTTCAATTATTGACTATCGTACGATGTTGTTAATCAAGTTACATGCGATTTACTATGTGCTCTATATAATAT